GAATACTCGTCGACCAAGTCGAGTGAGCTGTACTTTGTACATCCAACCATGTTGTTCTGGAAAGCATCCTTCCTATGAGCCTGTGTCGGAATAATGACAGCGTTGAGCTTATTGTAAGCGTGAGCGTTACGCCACTTGCCGTTTGGCTTCCAAACACAAAGCATGGGTGTCGGATGGGGAGACTTGCTCTCATGCACCATTCCTGCACCGTGCCATACACGGAAGAAGGCATATTTGATGTCACACTGCTCCTTTGGCAGGGGCCATAGGCTTGTTACGCAGTATCTGATTCCTGAAACCAGGGCAATCTCATGACGCACACCTCGGTCTGAAGGCAGGACCGACAGCGGGTCTTTGGAGACGACGTCTTGAAATCACCAAAAAATAGTACGGATCTGAGGGATTCTTCAGGATCGACAATCTGCTTCGTGGGATCAGCACTCTTTTGGTGTCCTCAAAAAAAGCTTCATCCAGAAGCGATAACGAGTTAATCTTCTCGTTCGGTCGTATGATGGTCACCTCGGCAAGATCGCCTGCATTCAAGGCACCGCGAACTCTTTGAAGGACATCTTGTTCAGCACCAAGGATTGCATCCACCGCGGAAATAGCCTCGAGGTTGAGGTCGCCGTCTTCCGCTCCCGTTACACAGGCGAATAGCTGTGCGCCATCGTTTACGGGAGACATACCCTGGCTCAGGGTCGATGCCTGGCGTCTTGCAGAAAGCATACGACATCGCTGTCTACTCTCTATAGAGATTTAACATCTCGTCGAGACCAGTGGGAACAAGCACTCAGCGTCGTCAAGTATCCCCACTCCCTGCAACATCGGAGTCTTGACGTTATTAACCAGATTCGACGAAGAGCTGCTACCTCCGCAGTCTTCGTCCAGTGGATAACGTGTTACTCCACGCGCATCAGAAGAGCCTTGGTCGACCATTCCACTAGCAGCTGCTTTGAAACGTGAACAGTGCTAAGTGGATTACGTGCCACTCCACGCACATCATTAGGGCCTTGCCCTCGATGATCGACACTTGGCTGACCATACCACGCACGGCATGCACCGACGGCTTTGATACTTGAGCTGCGCTTAGTGGGTTGCGTGCCACTTCACATTCAGCCCACGAGCCATGCTCGGGACTATATCTTTGGTGGCTGACATCTCGGATACTCCGACTTCTTGCACATTGACCGTCCCGGTCCAGTATCCGCGCCAAAGCGCTTCTGCTTCCTAGCAGTGGTTGGGTCATGACTCACCAAAGCTCTACCGGGAGACGTAGGCGTAGCGCCCAAGGTCTTCGACTTCAATCGATCCATGGCTTATGGTATTCGAACCATGCCGTTTCAAGGATAAGTTCATACCTTGATACCAATAATATGACCAAACAGCATTCCATGCTATCAAAGTCAAGAAACTTGACACCGAGTTTCACAGGGACTTTCGACTCCGTGACACAAGTTCTCGTCGCTAACCGAACAGTGACGGTGTCACTCAACCGTGCTTTCAGCGACTCAGAATCCAGCTAACTTCCTTCTATCCTGGAGCGTCGAGAATAATTGCCCGACGCTCCGGAGTCGATAAGGATCTTACATGGCTTCTCGAAGTTCTTCACGGTCGCTTCCACGACCAGCAAGCCCGGCTAGCATACACGTTCCGTGTTCATGAGCCCTGAGCTGTCGAGTCGTGCCCTGTTGCCCTCTCCCTCTTTGACGCTCAACAAGACTCAATTCTTACCAGTAGACCGCTCTGCGCCTACTGGGTGTTCCTGTGACAAACCAGAATAATGAGAATCGAGTAGTCGATTCGATGGATATTGACTTGCGCAGGGGACCACCTATCCAATAGTGACGGTGTCTTCGCAGACGAAACAGCATCAGGAGCTCGAACGCGGCTCGGCAGCTCGGGGCTCTCCATCCTTTTTCTCAGTATTGCTAAGATTCATTGGCCCAGGCTCGCTTGACGAGCTCTGAGGGTGTGCATGATAGCCAAGTCGTGCCGACTTGAAGTTGAATTTGGCATTCAATGCCATATTCTCCGCTTCTTCAAAGAAAACGGATGCACACGGAAGGCTGTCATTCTGGCCAGTGCGAAAGCTCTCGATAAGTTCGGTCACTGTGGCCGCCTCGTGGTAAGGATCGGCTGCCATCCCGGCAATAGGAATTCGCAACGATGAGACAAAGTCCACCAATTTCGCTTTTCCCTGTCGGACAGCAACGAAACGCGATAGCATGCGATATGCCTGGTTTGGCGGCGAGAATACTCGCAAAAGCTGCAGCTACAGCTCCATCCGGGGGGGGGTGCCTCTTTGACTGAAGTACCACACGTCAGTGACCGTTCTCGTGCTCGGCCCCCGAGCTTGGAGATAGCTAGCGCCACGCGCTGTTGCTCGTTCTGTAGCATGGCGGATGCCATAGCCAAGAAGACCTCTCTCGCCCAGAGCTGGAGATTCTATCTATTCTTATCCTCGATGGTCTAAGCGCTCACCCTGAGCGGCCTGGGTCGGGAGGAGTCATCCGTCGCTGATGGTGGCGTCATTAACGCAGTCGATGCCGACATCTTCTTCTCTAGATGCTCTAGTACAGCATTTTCATAGTTCAAAACGCCCCTAGGCGCGCGCTTATCGATTTAGGTCGTTGTGAAGCAAGGTGTTGCACGCTCTCAGCGCCATGCAGGGAAATTATTTTTTTAAGCCCGTCCTGCATGCCCTGGGGCAAAAAGGAGAATTGCTCCATCCTCACAGAGGATCAGTCGTAACGACTCAAGCGTACAGTGACTACAAGTGCTACCAAGTGCGGCGGCGCTGCCGTAGCCCTTTGCTTAGAGGAAGCTTACTAAGGTCATTGACCTTACGTTCTATACTAGAACCAGTACGAGTGTAGCGTATCGCCTTCCCCTACCCCAAACCTTAACCAAGGCAAATACACTCTTCCGTTCAAAATTGAAACTGTATTTTTATGTTTTATTTTCGGCAGAGCCGCCTATATAGGATTTTTTCATTTAATTGTAAAACCCAATTAAAATACCGTTAAGGTGTAGCCAGACTGTTGTGTGGTCCCACTATCTTGTGTGACCATCCCTGTATACCAGGGTACGTGTAACCCCGTTATAAAAGATTTGTTTTGTTTTGCACACACTGAATTGGCTAGCCGCTAGCATCAGTTGCAGAAGAAATCTTTCTGCGTCGAAGAAGTCCAACCTATCAAATATACTCTTGTAAAGTTGAGGCTGGACCTGCTCGTCCATAAGCAATTCGTGATCGTGTAGATCATAAGCACTGTGTCATCGCCACCACACCTGTTAAAGAAATTGGCAAGATCATCATCTTTCTTTACTCGTTTTATTATCGGCATACTTTTTGACGTAAAGTACAAGCTATGCAATCTTGATGTGATAGAGAATGCCTTCGGGTCGCCCAGATTTTTAGTTTGCTCACACCACAATGCTAACATCAAATATATTATGCTCTTGACATCAAAGACACATTTCCATTGCTGGGTGAGTGTACCAACTATCAATTGGATTAGGAGTCAAACGAATCTTGTCTTGTATTATTAAATGCAGGTAGCAAGGATTATTTGAATTCAGATGCCACTTTATCTAAGTGCTTGTCAGCGCATATACTGCTACTTACAGGATCAACTTCATTACCGCAGTAAAGCACGAATCCGTCTGACACATTGGTTTGCAACATGATGATACAAAATTTTGTATGCACTCGGTGCGGGGAGTATTTCTGGTCGAAAAAAAAGTCCAGATCATTCAATCACGACACTGAACTTAGACAAGATTTTTTTTTGATCTCCATCTTAAATGAGATAAATTTAGTATTGTCTAATTTGATTGTCAGCAACATATGCTGGTTAATGAAATTCTGGACTGCTCTTATCGCAATTTGTACCAAATAGGTATTGACGATGGATCAGTACATTGTGACCCAAAATATTTATGCTGCAATCATAGCTGCGTTTTTTTGTGACATACTTAAATATATGGTTTCTGTACAACACAAGTGGCATCGTGAATTGAATTAAAAAAAGTCGTTCATGTTTTGTCAGAGTCGAGTTTTTGACATCTCACTAAAATGAATAAGTGCTGTACTGTCTACTCGGTAAATGTCCGTCGTGAAGTGAGAGGTCTGTACAATTACGTAAGTAAGGGTACAGAATGTGATTTATAATATACAGGCAGCTGGAAGACGCAGTCGCCGAAACGGTCGATCTGGACACAATGCAGCAAGTCGCAGAAAGTTTTTGCGACTTAGCTTTCACACCGCACATCCTCGACACGCCCAGGGTGACCTTTCGCTTGGCGGTCTTTAATTCATTGTTTGAAACTGTTATGGTCGTTTGTCAAGCCAAGAGTATTCCAAAATTTATTTTATTCTCTTTAAAGTTGATACAAGTGCATTCCAATAGCTTTGCACTTCAATGCGCAATTGCACGATTTCAAGATCTTGTAACATATCATGACCAGCACCTACATTTACTTCACGCCGAAAACATTCAGAACAATACAAATGTTTGCGCTTACCACTTTGCTCTATTTATTCTGCTCTATGGGAGATGTCACTCAATCGCTTAGTAGAGGCTTTGCTAACTAATCACCAAAAGTATTCTGTTGTTGATACCTGCCTCAACGTGGCAACATCCGGAAAGTATTCCAAATCTTGATGCTGTCTGGACTTCGACCCACCGCCACTACCTCGATGGCAACATCATTGGTTAATAGACTGTAGGTAACAGAACCACAACGCTTCAACGTAGACCAGTTGCTATTTTCAACTATCATTTGTACGACGAGTCTGCACATACATCCGTTTTTGACATCTGAACACCCACTTACTAAAAATCAAATGATTACCGATACGTCGCGTAAGGGCTCGGTTGAAGTGCAGTCCCACTTGGTACCTGGCAGTAACAAAAAAATTGCTAACTGCAACTTTGGTGAAGCACTATCAGTCTGATTTCCGCGCTCTCGACCGCAAGTGACATTCACTCCTGTCGATGACACATAGTCGAGTTTCGCGCGCGGTAGCGCGGCTATTGCGGCCTTTTCACCGCCAGGAGCACAAATCGACTGTCGATGACGCAGCGTCGAAGCCTCAGCGTGGTTCATTGAACTCAAGTGCCACCTCCACTTGTTCTACGTCTCCATCTTCTTCGCGCAACTGTGATAGCGTCCGCAATGTATTTTCGCTTAAGATCAACAACGATGGCATTCCATACGCAGTTTTGATGCCGTCTGCGTTATCACGTTATTTGCGTGCGCTTGTAGAGCAAGCCAATGCATTGACAACAAGCGATCATCGTGCAAGTCACAAGATCCCTGAAACGTCCTTTGCTAGCTCTAGGTCATCGATTCGGTGGCGAGGCGATTTTAGTACACGAACACTCGAAAAACTTGTGCAACTTCTTACTGAAGATGACACGGATGGCTTCACTAGTACAATTGGAAGGCGTTCATGTAAGCCTGTGTCTCTGGAAGCAGCCGCAAAGACTATGCTCCAGCTGTGGGACTGTTGTCTAAAAATTCTTGATGCTCTAGCTGATGGTGCTGCACCTGAGCCATCTTTGCGACATACAATGGCACATTCGAAAGACGTGGCGATCGCAGCGGCGAAGGGAAAGAAGCATCAGCTGGAACAGGCAGCGTTAGCGTTGTTGGTTGTGGTCATCAAGCGACAGGAATTTGATGCACTGTTAGTGGCTGCTGGCCACGGAGGCTGTAAAAGTCATAAGCCAGCAGACGAAGCAAGACATGGTATGTCTCGGTTGTCCAGACGACTTTCTCGGCACTCACGGCGGTCAAAGGTTCGAGAGACTCGAGTGTCGCTGTCTTCAAATTCATCGAGTCAACATAAAATAGCAAAACGGGGGCAAGAACGTACTATACGATTGTGTGATTCAGTGCATCATTTGTTGGAGCTGCATCAGTCAACGTTGCAATACGCTTTTGACACGGTGCACGGCCCGATTGATGTCAGTAGTAGCTCTACGGAATTTACCCCATTAGATCAGCATCAGATACTCCTCGCTGTGCTTGTCGGTACGAGTTACACCCGCGTCCCGCGACTTCGTGGCCACATTCTTGACAATCTTAGCAACGTAATGCCATCAACGACATTCAGGAACAAACAATCAGAGTCTTTTTCGTCTATCAACTCACGAGAACGAAACAAATCTGTATATGATGACAAGTTGCGACTCACCACATTCCACTGGCATTTGAACCTGTACCCGCAATGTCAAAATCTTTTGACTACTGTTAATCGGGAAGACCGCTGGGCATCCTCGACGCAGATAATTAGCTATCTGATGGCTGATTTGGATAATTGCATGGTGGTACTTGCACAGCTTTTGGAACAACTCAATGGCCAGCAGGTGCTGGGATTTACCGATTGGAAGTGTGTCCCTGGTGCTGATTTGCTGAAGGATGCAATTTTAAACATTGTACAAGCTTCATACCAGATGGAATTGCTGCAACGCGAACCTAAGTGGCAAGATGGCCTTGAAGAAAAAAGTGATGAAGCTTCCTTGGCGTGTGACGAGCTGGCTCTGCGCGAATCTTCTACGTTTGGTGGAGTAGTAGAGGAATTGAACTCACCGACGGCTTATTTTGCTCGTCGCGTGACATCCATGATGCACGAGAACGTCAGCTTTATTCACGACTACACAATCACGATACTGCGTGTCACGAACTACATGCTGCCACACCACGTCAATGTTTGTTTGGAATATTTGGAGAAATTGGTGACAGACTTTCCGTTTTACTTTGTCAATGAGCCAGCCGTGCACGATTTGATTAACGCAGAATCTTCGGATTGTCACACTCAACCTCAGCAAGAACGCGTTTGCGTGGACGTTGAGACATTCCGCTTTGTGTTCTCGTGCCTTTTGGGATCAGAACATTTTGAAATTCTAAAGGCGACTGAACTCTTTCTACTTCGAAATTTTGTAAAGTTCTCTGTTTCATTGCAGGTCCAAATCACGAAGCTGCTTGCCGAGCACGTCAAGCGACTTTTTTTGCACTGGAACCGCGACGTTCGCTTTTGCTACTTCCATATTCTGCTATACTTGACATATCCGGGCAACCGCATTGTTTTGGGCGCCAAGTCGGACGAGGCGATCATGGGTGCCGAAGCCTCTCGACTGTTTGAGATACCTGGTCTTATACGTACTAGCAGCACTGTAAGCTGGGAAATCTTTGACGTTCCACTGCAGCAGATTGTTGCTCGTTACATTCAAATGACCAAACGTCGGCCTGTCGGAACCCACAAGCCTACATGGGTGGATGCTGTGCCATGGCATATTTTGCAACGTTCTGTTACGGAGTACAAGATTCACTTAAAATCTTACTTCATTTACGCACAACAAGTTTCCGTGCACCAACGCGTTCCGATACCCGAATTCACTGTCAAGACTGGGGAAGACGCTTCCTCTGCCGCTCCTGCAGCCGCAACATTGGTCTGAAGATTAGATTTAGGAATGCGTAAGACTTTTTTTATTAGCACATCAATAGAATGATATTGACCAACCATGTTGTGCTCGTTGCGAATGGTGTGCAACTTGCAAGACAAAGTATGGATCTCCGGTTGCACCATCCAGATTAAGGACTGTTAAAGGTACAGCATTCTAGATTTATCTGCAATGCACGAAACAAGAGCTATTGAAACTGATATGTTCTCACGGCAAGGTGAAATTTCGTGGAGAAGCGGAGAGAGATGAATCATGTTAGAACCTGCTCTCACAGAGCACTTGCTGAAAAGCAGAAGTCCTCAAATATAGTGATTATATAAAGTGATTTGATTGCTCACAAACTGAACCGAGAAGAGAAATAGTGTAGAGTCAGACGGATATATCGTCAACCCCACAATATGCTGGACCCCGCCCGACTTGATTTGTTTTAAAAGATGCATATATGTGATCAGGAAAATGAGTAAAAATGTCTTATGAAATGAAGTTGGGCTTTCATCTTGAGGATTGAACACATTTTCACGTAGAATATTCAAAAGTTCGACGGCGGGTATTGCAATGAGATATTATAAACCTACCGCGAAGCTGTAACTTAGGCAATTCGATCATAAGTACATGTGCTGGCTATATTCGTACCTGTTCTGAGTATTTTCCTAGAGAGCTTCAGTATTGCAGCATACTGAGTCTACCGGTAACTTAAGTTTCTCAACATAAGTTCATACAATTGTTTGCTTTGCGGATTCAATATTTCAGATTTAGTAGGATAAAGTGCAGAGTTCATTTATGTATAACCAGAAAACCGATGTCGCCCGTGCTCTCTGGAATACATCTTGATGATAGTATTTGAAGTTTATTGAATATGTAAACAGATAAAGGTCTATCGCTCACAGCCACTTCCACTCTGGGCTCTCACGCGTGAGACTATCTACATAGTCATCAAATGACATACCGGCAGTTTTACAAAGTTTACTAAGCTTCCGAATTTGCTGCTTGCTAAGCGGACGCAATGTCTTTGGGTTTGTGAGTTTCGTGCGTTTCATGGACGAGTTGATGTTGCTGCTCTTCACCTCTTCCTCGGGCTCTTCCTCAATCACTTTCTTGCCACCACCTGCACGATATTCTTTCTCTTGAGCTTCACCAATGATGGTGAGACGACCAGACTCCACCAGCCACTTCTCTGTACAAAGTGAGTTGTAAAACTCTTCACTATGAGATATCATAATCACACCACCAGCATACTGACGAATACCATCCGCGAGAGCACCGAGTGCAGCACGGTCCAAGTAATTTGTCGGCTCATCAAGTACCAACAAATGTGGCCGATTCCACATGGCAGAGGCAATCACAAGTTTCACCTTTTGGCCACCAGAGAGACCTCGGATCTTGCCGTGGGTACCAAATTCGGCTGGTAACGCAAAGTCATCCAAATGACGCTGAATCTCTTTGGTTGTAAGCGGACGTAGGTCCAGACCCCCAGCCAATGTCGCTTGACGAATGTCTTCAGCCTCTGCAAGTGCACCTAAACCCATTTCCTGAAGCTGCTCCAGCGTGTATCGCTTATTATAGCGTTCTGTCATGCCTACAAGTTTGCACTCATACTCAAGTGTACCACGTTTGCCTTTGGTTCGAGATACAATCTTTTCCACTTGACCGTGTTTCTTGCCCACAAGATTCTTTTCTTCTTCGGATTGTTGTAAATTGACATGGTCACCAAGCTCACGATCAACGCCGTTTTCGCCACCAAATCGCCACTGGAAGTACTCAACTGGACTACTGTCCAAATGCTTTTCGACATGATGAAATGAGTGTTGTGCCACGTACGCTACACGTACCGCATGGTGCTTCCAAAACGAGCCTGTGTCAGGTGCTGTCTCCTGTACGAGCATCTTTATCAAAGTCGACTTACCCGCACCATTCACACCAATCACAGCCACACGAGAAGCCAGGCACAATTTGACCGACACATTTTCTAGTTGTGGCTTGGAAGCACCAGGATATGTGAATGTCGCGTTCTCAAGCGTCAAGATACGGCGCGTCATCGAATTAATTCCCTCTAATCGACCAGGTTCTGGAAGGTTAAACACCGTATCAGATGACTTGAGTTCATAGTAATGTTTTGCTTCAGGATGAATATCCACAAACTTCGACAGGGTCATTGGATACAACACTAGTTTCTTGGATTCATAATGAAAAATGTCCGTACAAACATTATCCAGAAAACCTGTGTCATGGGAGACTAATAACACCGTCATTGTCTCAAGAGAATTGAGATAATCCACAAGCCATTGCACAGCATGTACATCCAAGTGATTTGTTGGTTCGTCCAGCAGCAGAACATCAGCATTGTATAGCATGGCACGTGCCAATGCTAGCTTCATGCGCCAACCCCCCGATAGAGCATCAATATCTCCATCGAGCATCTTTTGGGTAAATCCAATGTCCGTCAGCGTCTTCTCAACTGTCGTCCGAGTTTGATGAGCAAGCTCTGGAGCCTTGCACATTGACTCAAATAAACTGCCTTGGCTCTCTACAATGTCTTCATGTTGTACGTACACTGACCGCAAAGTATCCGGCAACCCTTCAATGGCTCCTGACGCCAAATTTCGCATCAACGTCGTCTTTCCAACTCCATTTTGTCCGATTAGACCGTAGCGATGACCACGCGTGAGGCGTAATCGAGCATTTCTTAGCAAAATCTTACCACCGTACGCAAGGGAAAAGTCCAAGTCACAGACGTCATTTGGATCGGTCGACTTCTCACGTTCTTCGCCCAAGCCGCCGCCAGCAGCACGCAGCGCATCACACAAATGTTCAGCGTCCAAGTCATGCATGTGTGGCTGTAGATACGGCAGCACTATGTCTCGCCACTCGGTACCACGATTTTGAGTCGCTAACTCCGTGCATACATCAGTCACATACTCTAAGGTAAAGTCGTTGAGTCCAGGATGAGTTGGACGGTCAAGTGTGTCGGTAAACGCATTAAACAGATCCTTCTCAAGTTTCATTCGGATTGCTATCGGATCGTCGTCCATTGCTTCCCCATCGCCAGCAGCATGTACAAGATGCGCTCGTGCTTCCTTAGCCGCTTCTACGACTTCTTCGTCAATCAATCGATCAATTGCTGTCTCTAATTGTGGAAGTAACAGTGGCACAAACTGCATCACATCGGATGGACGTACCACGAGGCGACACATACTATCAATAATCTTGGACGCTTTTCGCTTCAGTGACGAGCTACGAATGCTTGTGTCACGAAGTGCTTTGTGTAGCAGTGGTGCGATTAAAGATAATGTAGGTGCATCTACATTGGCTACAAATGTGGTGGCAAGAAGACTATCGATCGCTTTTTCGGTTTCTTCTGGACGAGCGATAACACCGACTAGAATTGGAACTAATGGTACAATGTCGTCATTGCTGATTTTTGAACACACAGAAATGAGTGCGTCGATTGAAGCAGCTTGGACTTGTTTCTTGGTATCCCACACATATTCCGTCACAATTGGCATGATCTCAGGAAGCCATCGCGAAACGTCATCACTAGCCATTTCACTTAGCTCCTTTAGAAAATGCAATGCAGCCACTTTACTTTGCCACTGACGTAGCTCAAGCGCTTTGTAAATTTGCTTGAGAACTGAGTGAATTGCCAGTGGGTTCACTTTCTCAGCAATTGTCTTAACAAGTAAAATTGCAACGTTTTTGACCGCATGCTCTGAGTCTGCGTGTCGCAGCATTATATTAATCAGTTGCTCCACCACCACAGGCTCAATCACGGATGTTAACGCGTCACTCTTGCACAGAGCCACAAATGCAAGTAGTGAGCCTTCCCGGGCAGTCGTGGGCTTCGCAACAAGATGTTTCTTTAATTCATTCAGTACGTAGATACCAGTCACGCTAGCAACACCCACGATCTCTAAAGCGACCACGATATCAGCAGCCGCGGCACTCCGTTCACTTTTCGAAGAAAATGCGGCAACGAGGCATGACAAGATGGTATCGAGTTGTGTCTTGACCGCTTCCACGTCTTCAAGAGCCCTAAGCGCTTCGCGCTGTTCTTCGGACGCAAGCTGCCGACATTCGTCGTCTAAGGAGGATACTGACGTCTCGGATGGCGACGGTGATGGCTTCGTGTGTACAAGTGGAGCACTCGCACTTACTTGTGAGCTCTTCGGCGCTACAACCTGCAGCGATGACCGTGTCTGTTGTTCTTGCTCTAGTACGGATGGAGTGCCCTGTGACATGGCAGCTGCCAGTAAGGCGTCGGCTGCAGCTTTGCGTGTGCGCTGTCCCTTGCCCATGGTAGTCTATTTGTAAGATGAGAGATGCGAGCGGATGGTGGCGAGGGAAGGAATGAAAGCTTGGGAGCCAGCCAAATTCTGAAGTTCTGTCTCCGGAACGGTCGCAACTGACGTCACTGAGAACCTGTCACAGATAAGATAATTAATAACGGGCGACAAATATATGGCTAGTAGCCATATATTGGCTACAAATGCGTGCACCACAACAAAACCTTCGAGTCCAAATCTGTGCTTTTATAATCATAAAATAAAGCGTTTGTGTTTTATACAAAATTCAAAACTGAGCGTGTACTTTCGAAACTTGATTGATTGGAGTATGGGATGCGAGGTCACTATGGACACTGCCAACAAATACGATTATAAAGATCTATTTGTCCCTTGCTTATTAAATAAATTGTTAAAGCAGAAGCTGTATGCGACGAATGCGATATAGAAACTCATGCGAATCGCTATCAATGATGAGAACGATCATTGGGATCAGTACAATGCATGAATCTCATGTGGCTTTAGCTCGATCACCGGGCACAATCCTACTGGCCCTTTTGGAACGATAAGATGTCCAGTTCAAAAAGATTATAGTAAAATTCATGATCTAGCACTAGCTACTAGGTACTCACAAGATGCGTGAATGGGGTTTTTATGTTTATAGTTTATTATAAATAGAAACACATTTGTCGAGGACCCAACTTTCTTGGTAGAACACTCTTTGATATGACGAGCAAGTGAATTCTTTATCATTAACAGCTTATTAGCTCCGCATCCTAGGGAGGAACGTCGAACCAAACTTGTGTCCATTCGACGACACAACCTTTGCGAGTCGAAGCTTTGTACTCTTCGAAATGCACGGCAACCCCTTTGCACATCTAGTCAATCTGACGACTGAATATTATAGGACTGTACCTGCATTGGGATCGAAGCGCTCATTGTACAGAGAAAGCATCGACTTCAAGAGTCCCTGGTAGAAAAAACACAGATGTCGATATCGTAGGCTTCGACCAAAAGCGGAGATGAGAGCCTTATATTTTATAAGCTATCTAGTACGCTCTGCTTATTCCAAGAGCACCAATTTTTAAAATCGGTTATTAGTCAACATTAGCAAAGTATATATGGTTTACTATCTCTCAAAGAATTTTTTTGACGCGCAGCTAACAGCTTGGGTGTACCACGTTCTGTTTTTACAAAGTCCCCTCATCTTCAAAAACCAAGGCTTTAGTTCTTAAGTATAGTGCAGTCTTCATTTTGCATTATAGAACTGACCTCAGATAAATACTGAAAGAGTGAGGTGAGTGTACACAAAAATGTTGTAATATTTTCCAAGATTTGTGTTTTACACATCTTTTGCTATACCGCACCTGTCTGTCAGAGCATAACTTGCACATTGAGCCCCATCCGATGCGACTGAGCGAAAAGCGCAACGAGCCTCGAGAAAGGACGCTGTGGTCGCGAACGACACTTTGGAAGAAATTCTCGGTGAGAATGTTGAAAACTTTACCAATGCGACAGTCGATGTAATATCATTAGGCTTGATCAGACACCTCCACATTCACCCAACGATACACGTCCAAGTCATTCACCAAGTATGGGGTGCTTATTGGACTCTAACTTTTATCCACACGATTTACTTACTCCGTGCCCTTATCCGTCCGCGATATTCGAGTTAACCTTTCAACGTTTCTCTTCGCAACAGGGCGAAAACCATACGCGCCAATGCATACAGAAATCTCACTCACATCACGCAAACAAGAGCACCAAATTGTTGTTATGCTAGCGTTTCACACACTTGTCATCACTTTCAATTATTCCGCCTGCACGTATTAAACAATCGAACGATAACCGGTGCCCTTAGAAAGATGTGGAATTTGGGTACTTAGAGCTGGAAAGGTTTTCAGTTATAACTAACCTTGGTTAGCGCTGTAAGTAAGATAACGTATCGTTTCACCCACCTGAAGCATGACAAGACAGCTTCTGCGAAGCATAAATTCGCCTAAAGTGTCGACTCATGCTTGACTTTGCAAAGTGCTACGCACGATACAGACGTCGTGGTGATACCCATCACCTCAAATTTCTGATTTTGTATTCCCGCTCGTCCCCATAAGAGCTACTGACGGAAGGTATTAATCGTCTCGAGGTCGGTCGCATCGCACTGATGTAAAGCGCGATGCTGCCTCATCTTGTGGGGGAAGAGAACGCAATTTTGACACATCGAAAGAAACCTCAACACCAGGACAATGCTGTCAAAGTGGATTCCCAAGCTCAGCTCTCATAATTTTCTCGAATGAGGCTCTCCTTTTGCTTCACTAGATTATAGTAACAGCTCCAGTGTCGTCGCCGGTCCCCCAAAGGCATCACCTGAAAGTAGGACAACTCCCTTGCTCATCGAGCAGTGTAAGCAGAATTTGACCCTCCTGTGGAAAGGTTTCATGAGCTCCCAAAATTTGCGGCGGTAACTCGGATTTATCTGAGAGTCTACACCCAAACTAAGATGCCTGGATTTGAAATTTTTATATATGCCTCACCATCTAAGTGTGACCCTGGCTGTTAAAAGCCGCGTCACTGCTTTGAAGCAGGCAGTAGTTCAGCCACTGGGGATGGTAGACTAGCCGATTTGTCTACAGCAGAGCCCTTCATACCCGATTTGCTTATGAAGCAGGATCGTGCTATGCATCAGTATGCCCAATCGGAGAACGATATGTGTTTACATTCTCATTGGGGAGTTAAAAATACAACTCGATCCTCCCTGCTAGACAGAAGTTTAATGTAGCATTGCGATAAAATCACTTATATTGCGAATAAGTGTAGTCGAGCTAGTCCTTAAGGGTTGGATTGTGTAGGATTGCCAGTAGTAATATATTACTATATAAATTAGGTTTTGCAATATTAATTAGGCTTTAATATATTAATCAGTAATACCTAGGGTGTTAAATATTTGCGGCTCTGCCCCAACTAAAACAATTAAACACAGTTTCATTTTTGAACAGAAGTATTCGTTTGTCTTGGTAAAGATAAGTACTCAGAAGTAGCGGATCGCGATTTACTACACTTGTACTGGTTCTTGGAAAAAACGTAAGGTCGGTGACCTGACCTTAGCTTCTTCTAAGCAAAGAGCTACGCACTTGGTAGCACTCGTAGTCAACCTACGCCTGGGTCATTAAGACTGATCCTTTTGTGAGGATGAAGTAATACTCCTATCTGCTTCATTGTGTGCAGGACGGGCTCAATAAGCCGATATCCTTGCTGGTCCCGAGGCCATAAGCCCGCGCCTAGAGGCGTTTTCACACTATGAAAATGCTCTGCTAGAGCACTTACAGCAAAAGCTGTCAGTGTCTACTGCATCTATGACGCATTCGTCGACGGTGGATGATTCCTGAGAACCCAGGCCGCTCATGGCGAGCGTTAAGACCTTTTGAATAAGGATGGAAGGATCTCCCTCTCTGGGTGAGAAAAACCGAGATGGCTATGGCATTCGCCATGCTCCAAACGAGCTACAGCGCGTGGCGCTAGCTATCTCCAAGTACGGGGGGGCGAGCGCTAGAATGGGCACTAACGTGCGGTGCTTCGGTTGAAACTGCGTTCCCCTCCTGGACGGAGCGGAAGCTGCAGCTTTTATGTTCTCGCCGCCTAATCAGGTATATTGCGTGAGATCGCGTTTCCATGCTTCCAGACTGGGCAAGAAAGAGTTGGTGGACTTTATTCAAGAGTTGAAAGCTCTTATCGTCGAGGAGGCAGAAGATCCTCCCCCCGAGGAGGTCGCAGTGACCGAATTTATGGAGGGCCTACAAACTGGCGTGGCCAGAATGGAAATCCCTTAGTGCATCCGTCTTTATTTAAAGAAGCGGTGAACGTGGCATTATATGCCACATCCAACTTCAAATCGGCACGACTTGGATGAAATGCACACCCTCAGATCTCGTCGAGTGGGCCTAATCCAATGGATCTCAGCTATGCTGAGAAGGAGAAGGGGGTCTTCGAGCTGCTGAAAAAGCAGGGAAACTCCCGACGGTGTTTTGTTTGTGGACAGGTTGTTCCTTGCGCAAGGCGCGACAGGGTTCGTCGAACCGTCGTCCCGCTTCTAATCAATCCAGTTGGCGCGGGGCGCCCTACTGGGGAAAAACTGAGTTCTGTTGAGCCTTAAAGAGGTAGAGGCAGCAGAACCCAGCTTTGAAGGGCTCAGTGCTTTTGAACACGGAACGTGTGTGCAAGTCGAGCTTGCTGGCCGTAAAGGCGTCTCTGAAGGGCCTTGAGAGGCCATGAAATTTTTTTATTAATTTTGGTGCGCCGGGCCTTTATGCTCGACGCTCCACGATCGAAGGAAGTCAGCTGTATGCTGAGGCGCTGAAGGCGCAGTTGGGTGACACCGTCACTGTGCCGAGGGTCCCTGTGGACCTCGGTGTCAAGTTCCTTGACTTTGATAGCGTGGAACACTCTACTCTTTGACTTGGATGCAAGGCATTACCTTATCCTTGGCATGGCATGGTTGGAACACATGAGCCATGGATTGATTAGAGATCGATGATCTTGGGCGCTACGCGCACGTCTCCTAGTGGATCTTCGGTGAGTCATGAGCCCAACTTTGTTAAGAGGCAGAAGCGCCATTGGCGGGGGCACTGGACCGAGACGGTCAATGTGCTGGATATCGGAGAATCCAAGCTGTCAAACACCGAATAGATTTGTTGGACAAGAGTCCCGAGCGTGGCTCACGGGCTGAACGTGGAGTGGCACGTAACCCACTCAGCGCTGCTCAAGTATTGCAGCATTTGCTGCATGCCAAGAGTGGCACGGTCGAACAAGGGCCGAGGCATCAAGGGCGAGACTCTTGTGATGCACGTGGAGTGGCACGCTGTCCCCTGGACGAAGACTGCGAAAACAGCAGCTTTTCGTCGTTAACAATAAAGACTCCGATGGAGCAGGGAGTGAAGACACCGGACGACGCCGAGTGCATGTTTCCACTGGTCTCGATGAGACGTAAATAATCTTTAGAAAGAAAACGGCGACGGGGGCCGTATGATATATGCAAGACGCAGGGTCTCGACCCTGACCCAGCGTGTGTCCACCGTAGACGATAGCGAACAGCTGTATACCCTTATCGACGGTATGATGAGATAGAAAGACGGCGACATCACCTTCAAGGCTATTTTCTCACTAAATGCTTTTCTTGAGCTGGACGAGATGTCCTTCGAAGAGTTTGGCGGTGCCTTGAAGGCAGGCAATTTTGCCGAAATGGTCAATAAACGACCAAACGAGGAAATTGACTCGTCGTCGCTTCTGGATGAAGGTGCCCTGGAGGACACTAAGAAGGTGCTGAACGATCCTGAAGGATCCCTTGATTCCGCATCATCCTTTGGTAGAGAAATTACTAGACGGCGTCTCCAAAGATCCGCTGTCGGTCCTACCTCCGAACCGAGGTGTGCGTCATGTGATCAG